TCCTCAATAAATGGTGTTGGGAAAATTGGACAGATACATGCAAAAAGATGAAACTAGACCACCAACTTACACCATACACAAAATAAACTCAAATGGATTAAGGACTTAAATGTAAGACAGGAAACCATAAAAATACTAGAGGAATTCATAGGCAGCAATGATTTTTTTTTTACACTCTGTGTTCCTTTGCTCTGAAATACGAATGGATTTAATTTCCTTTAATTTTTTTTACTACATTACAAGATGCCAAAAAAGCTCAATAACTTGAACCTAGAAATCTAGGTTAGAATAACCTGTAGGATCCCAGTTCACACGTACATTAGATGGTGCATGAAGCATGTGTGACTCACTACCTCTGCTATACAGGATGGACCTGCCTTTGTATGCTGACAGAGTTCCTCTCTCCAAGGTGTTAGAGGAGCCATAATTCGTTTCCTTTGAATTAACTAGAAGTTATTGAGTTGGTTAATTTAATCATTGGGTTTGGTTAATCCCACAATCCTCGCTTGTGATGGTTCGAACTGATTTTTATAGGATGTATTCTCAATAATGTGTATTTAATTACTAATTGGGTCATTTTGCAAGCACTTTCAATGGGTAATGGTTATATTTTTAACCATTTTATAATTTATTTTTAACAAAGTTTCATATAATTCCCAATGGAGTGCATTGATCTGAATACTTAAGTGAACAGATTTATTTACAAAATACTTATATGTGTGACTATCATTAATGATACCATTAAACCTCCAAATCCAAAATCACTTTAAAATACATCAATTTTTACTTCTTTAGATTGTTCTACATTTTTAAATGAATGAATATTGCATTAGCAATGAAGATTAGATCTGATTAGTTAAAAATAATTTAAGTTGAACTTAATCTGCTCTATAGCACACCTGTCATTTACTGCATTTGAGGAAACCTTTTTACGACAAGATAAAAGGGATATAAAGGTTTCATAAAATTTATCTTGTTAGTATATATTTTATAGGAAGTTGTAAAATCTTTAACTGTTGATCTGTGTATTCAGAGGAAACTATTTGAAGGGCTAACTTTATTTAGGGAAAACGTTCACCGTGTCTCCAGCATGATCTGCAAATGTGCGTTCATTCATATGGTCATTGTAGTGCAGTAAGAAGCAAATGCTGCATACACATCTTGGCCTTTCCCACTCCCGTGATCCCATCCTCTTTGAGTGTTTAAGAAAACTCATCAATACAAAGAGTATTTCTATATTATTAGTTTTGAACCTAGGATCAGTTGTTTATGGAATTCTCTTTTCACACAAAAATGTTTACTTGGAAAAAATTCAGGGTAACCTATAACTAGCTATATATGTGCGTTCTGTAGAAAGGTAATGTGTGGCAATGTATGGGCCACATTTCAGAAATTTCAGAAAGTAGTTGAAAGAAAGGGATTGGTGCTTCCTGTACTTATATCCATGGAGATTGAATGTCGTAAATACGGAAAAGGGTGTGTGTGGGAGGGATAATAACATCTTCCCCACCTACGGACTTCCTTAAGTAACGAATACTGCGGGAAGAAAGAGGTATTAAAGGAGCCTCCTCTCAAAATCCATGGGTGTGTGGGTGGTAACAAGACAATTTTTAACCCCTGCTTTCCTCTGTCTTCCAGTAATAAGGAAGTGACAACGAATATCTTTCATTACTCTTTTTTTAAAGCTGTTTCTGGGTGGATTAGACTTTTGATAGATTAGATTCCTAAAAACAAAATATAAGTCCCGTAAAATGAAAACTGTATTTTAACTATTAAAATAATATAAATGCATGGACACAGACAATAGGGTGGTGAAGGCCTGGGAGGGGAGGGTGCAGGGTGGAGGGGGTCTATGGGAAAAAAACACACAAAGGGGATATGCATAATACTTCCAACAATAAAGATAGCTTAAAATAAAAAATAAAAGTGTGTTGTCTTGCTATAGGTCTGGAGGAATCCACAATTAAATTTTAATGTCAGATGGGAAGTTCTATGATAATGTCTATAGAAATAAAATGTATCCGAGATACATGGCATAGATAAATGAGTATATTTTTATTTCAGAAGGTAAAATGAAGCATTGGGCTTTATTCTGCAACTTATAAAATTATGTAATTTTAAGACAATTCTTTAATAGAGAAATGTCAGATATGTACAGTGATAGATCAAATTAAATTTATGCCCATTATTTGTAAAAAGAAAGCCCAATTTTTATTTGGATGATCCAGGTAGTTGTTGTTATGACAACTTTAGTGTAGAAAACCACCAGTTATGATATGCTTTTATTTAATACAAAAGTGTCCGGTATAATTTTTCTTTAGATGTATTACTCAGATGTCCACAAATAAGACGTTTACTTCACATGCATTTTGGATAGAACAAGAAATGTTTACATTACAACAAATTGTAGACCTTAGGCTGCCATTGTTGATTATGTGGATTGCTAAAAACAGTACTTTATGAAGTTTGAGAACTTGAAAATCATTTTTTTAAATCTTTATGTTTCTAATGAAGATTCGATGCTATTCAGAAATCTAATCGAAATTAACAAGCGTAATATATCCTGGGTATTGTGGCAAGATTTTTGGAGCTGTAGAAGTGAATATGACACAGTTCTTTACACTCAAAGAGATTACATGTAAGTTTTCTTCTTAGCACACAATGGGGTAATTATTCTAACTATAAAAGAAAAGCAATTCCCTGCAGAAGTAAAA